GACCTACAGTAAATAACCAATTGATAATTTTCAGTGCATTCAAAAATGATCTTTACAGTGTCTGAGTGTTTTATAAATTAAATACCATAGTTAATTATAGCCTTGGAATTAAATGTCATTTTAGTATTTTTTCAGTGTGTAGATGCTTAAAGGAGCCCACAGTATTAATGCCTTGAATAAAAAACTTGTATTATAATATATATGTAAATGTTGACTGAAAAAAAAAAAAGCTATATAGCAAAGACATTAATCTTAATTTATTGAAATATGAAAAAGAAAAATCCCAAACTGCCTGATAACTCTTCCTTGTAGGAATACATTAAGACTGTGCATTTTACTGTTTATGTTAGTGAAACCAATCTAAATCTAAATCTAATTTCTCTTCAGATCTCTTATCAAATTATAATTCTGTTGTAAGAATAAATTATTATTATCACAGTATCAGCAACACATGTCCCTTATCACTTGTTTGCCTGCTAACTGCTCATGAGAGCAAAATGTGTCTCGTGGCCTGACTGAACTTATCAGTGTTATTTGGACAGATTTTAGGAATGTGCCACTGATAGCAGTGAGCTTCCACTATCCTAGTTTCACTGACCTAGTTTATACAGCTGTGGGAGTCTGTCTGTAAAAGGCAGTTCTCCTCGAAATTAATAATTTATATTGACTGCCCACATCATTTATCTCTGTGCAGCCTGTATTTCTGCAGACAGAAACCCTAAACACACTACCACAGAACGGAGACCAATATGTATTACACATTTTAAAATGAATATGTATTCATGAAATCTGATATATACACCATCAATGGTTCAAATACAATTTTACACCTTTTAAGTTAAGACAATCACACAGGGTTGAAATTATGCTGCTACACAGTTCTCTATAGTGTGAAACTTCCAATTACATTGACACACCCTGATTATTGATTGGTATTTTCCATTAGATGTCAAAGGCACTGATTGGTGTTACCAAAAATGCAAGAGTTTCAGCTCATAGAGGGCAGTGCAGGAAGCCAATTTCTGCCCGATTTATTTAGTGTAATTATAAATTAATATTTTCCCACTTAAAGGGACATTGTGTAGTGTTTTTAGTATTTTATTAACTAAAATCGATGTCTTCATTCATAAATGTGTCCTCATTGGTGTAAAATTACCTCTGCCAATGATCTGACTTATCCTCGTAAGCGAAGAATTTCTTATCTGTATAAACACTGGACGGGCAAGTCCATGGAGGCTTCCATGTCGTTCCGCCATTTCGAAAAACTATAATTGCCGAGAGGGACATAAAGCACTATCCTACCTGTCTAGCTAATCCACAACGCGTTTTCGTTCAGAGCCAGCGTCACGTGACTGAAACCAGCTATAATGGAGAAGGAGATCAGTGAGAGGCGCTTGTCACTGCCCCGGCACATTTGAAAGTCTGCACTGCACTTTAGTTCATAATGGAGGATCATACTTATGCCGAGCCACAGGAGAAGGAATCCTCGTCGCCAAAAAAGCGAAAAAGGGAATTAAAAAGGCAACGTGACCAGCAAATTAAAAAAACAAGGGTAAACATCGGGGTAGCTTTTCCCAGGTGGAAAGAGCTAATGAAGGAGAAAGACTTTCAAAGGGACGCTGAAGTTGTTTGCTTTCTCCTTGACAGGTAGGCTTCTTGGTATATAACGGCTACCGTAGTTGCAATATGCATTTGAAAACGCGAGGCAGTAGAGAGCACTATTCGTTTGAATGCAAAATACAATTTCACCGCTAGATGGGAGAAATTCCAACACAATGTCCCTTTAATGTATAATCTTTGTAGTTTTGGCTGTCACTCTTGTAATAATAATACTCACAGTTAATTTTAAAGAAATTGAAAAACAGCTTTGAAATCATGAGGCAAGCAACAGTCTTGGTTTTTCTGGAAGAATGCCACAGGCTAATTTTTAGGACAAAATTAAAGCTAATTAATATATATTATTATAACACCTATTCAGTCCCCTTGCAGGTTCACCTTTGAGTTATACCACAGTTTTGCACTCACACAGTTTTTATATGCAACGGATAATTGTAGCTGTTCAGGGGCACTGACCGTTGGTTTCAATTTCAAATAAGTGGCGTCGATAATATGCTTAAATTGGGAATTTGTTTACAACCTGTGCGTGATTACTCACGGACTCATTTGTGTTGCTTCCGCCGCTGCAACGTTGATGTGTCCTCAGATCTCATCCTGACACCGGGAGAGTCAGCTAGTCAGTCGAATGTTCTGTTGCTCGTAGCAACCGCGGCTGGCACAGTTCCATAGCAGTTACAGTTTAACTAACAGTGCTGCATCCAGCCTTTTCTCTCATAGATGCCCTTGTTGGACCATTACCAATATAATATTACTGCTGTTTTGTGATTTGTGATAAGCATTAAGATTTCCTGTGATCAGGTTTATGCCAACCAAGGTAGCTGTTATGCTAGCTGTCTGAGGCTAATGTGTTGCATATACATTTAGTTGAGCTTCTTATGAGGAGGTATTGTTCAACATTTTGGGAAATATGTTTTTTGGTATAGAGAGTGCGACAAAAAGATTGATACCATGCTCATATCTGTTGTCAAAATGTGTTACAGCCTGGGGTTAACACTTTATATGTTATTCATTTAATCCGTACAAGAATGTAAAAACATTTTGCTGTTTTACAGGGCATTATGTGCAGGACTATTTCTTGGCTGCAGCCGTCGCTGCCTGGAGTCTCTGCTAACTGCTGGCTCTGGCCCCCAACTCTTATGTTTAACACAGAGATAGGAGAGAGGTATTGATCTTCTGATCTAACTCTTGGCAAGAAAGCAAATAAATGTATCTCCCAAATGTCAAACTATTGCTTTACTGTTGCTTTAATGTATTTCACTGGTGATACTTTGTTTCCTGGCATGAAAGACAATGTAACTAGAGTTGGAGGTAGAACAGTTAGATTGAATTTAGCACCCTTGTTACTGTACTAATTCATTCTCACAATGCCTGCAGTCTTTGGTCTTTTGGTTTGTGGTATCTAATTTTTTTTCTGATCTGTAATACCCATTATTGAATTTGCTGTCCAATAACTGTTTTCCCAGTTTCAAAAGTGCTTCCAGGAAAGGCCAACTCCTGTCTTCCACCTTTACTGGGCTCACTGCACAGCTGTACACTTCCATGCCTGTGTGAGTAAAATGTCTCCATTATTCAAAATAATTATAAAATAAATACAAATACGACTATATAAAAACAATCTTGAATTCTGAATGAAAACATGTAAATGCAATCAGTCATCATGTGTAGCATTTTTAAAAAGGTCGATGCAGCAATTCCATAACTCAGCTGTTCCTTTTGACTGCACAGAACCATTTTATTCTTCATTTTCACCAGATATGAACCCTCAAAAAAATCAGTTTATCCACCTTTGACAGGCTATGTATATAAATCAGCATAACTTGAATTCAGAGTTTACATTCCAGTGATATATTATACCATTGTCAGTAAAGATAAGAAATGTTTTATTTCGGAAAATGCTTTAAACCATGGCATTTTCAGGTCAAGGAATGGCATTTTTTTTTTTTACTGTTCTTGACCTCCACATCAATGACTATACTCACAGTTTACCACTAGAGGGCAGCCTCTACCTGAGTCAGTCCTCAATCCCATCCTTCCACCAACCAAACTGCAGCAGCCCTGCTGCCTGAGGACATCATTACACACTCAATAAAGCAATAGTCAGTCATTTTCTCTGCTTAATTGATCCCACTGCTAGCCAACAATGCGTGGTGTGACATTTTTTACTGCAGCAGAAACAGCAGCATGCCTTAGAGTAAGACATGCTATTTGTAATTATCTTGTTGTTGTGTTCTTGCATGACTGGCCATCTGTAGACAGCATGCAATACACTTGTTGGTCAATGGCCGAGGTCAGGGGCTCAGCAGCGCATTCCTCCTGGAGCCGTGTGTATGTAGCTTGAGAAACAGTCGTCTGGAGGACGAGAACACAGCACGCTTTTACCCAATCCAAAACAGTTTGGAAACAGATATGGAAATGTACCAGATTATAAACAAACACTGTGGAGGTCTGATAAGATGATGTTTATGTTTACTGTGCAAGTTGAGAGCACACAATCAGTCTCACTCTTCCATCCTCACACACATACACACTCGTACGCACATGCACACGCACAGTGACACAAATTACATAATTGTGCGTATGTTCATTCTATACTAATTGATATTTAATATGATATTAATTTACAATCTTCTTGCTGTAAGGTGGAAGTGCTAACCAATGCACCACCAAAAAGTATTTATTATTTATTCTTATTATTATAGTAAGATCTTTTATTTTATAGTTATAGTTTTTGGGTCTTTTAAGGGATAGCGACAGCAGAGGAGGGAGAGAAAGAGGGGATGACATGCAGCAAAGGGCCACAGGTCCGACTTAAACCTTGGGCCACCGCAGCAAGGACTCGGTTTTGGGACATGGGGCACCAGTTCTACCAGTTGAGCTTTCCAGGGTACCAGGGTAAAGTATGATTTTAATTTTTTTATTATTTAATATTTACTGTGTCTCCTTTCAATACCTGGGCAAAGATATCTATGCCTAGGCTATTACTGACTACTATATAAAAACGAATCAAATCCAATTTGTCTTCTTTTCACAGATTAGCATGACAGACGTGTTATGGTGTCTTTGTGTGTGTGTTCCTGCAGCCTCCCTCACTCAGCCACTCCTTGTGCTGTCAGCATAGCAGGGTGGAGCTGGCAGAACTACACATGCTTCAAGCATGCTCTGAAGCTTCACTCCCTCTCTGTCTATTTCTCTTCCCCTGTGCACAGCTAAGAGGAGGGCCCAGTGCATGTAACCGATGATGCTTTATACCAATCACAGGGGTTTCCCCACCCTCTCCCTCCCTCCCTCCCTCCCTCCCTTTTTTTTCGCTCCCTCCCACTGTCTCTAGGCACACCAACCAAAGAAAAAAAAGTGCAGGAAAAAAAAAAAGTGATAAGCAGCAAGCAGCTTCTGGGTTTTGCTTTCAAGCGCACTCCTGCTGAATCGGTGTGAGTGAGTGTGTATGTGTGTGTGTGTGGGGCGTTCACTCTCTCTCCTGCCACAGTAGCAACACATTGCAGCAGCGTCGGCCCCGAACAAAAGGCTAAACGCAGCAGAGCCACAGGAGGAGAAACTCAGGGATAGAATCAGGCTGAGTGGCCCAGCGTGACTGCACTTCTCAGGGAGGAACTCAACCTGCCATTTAGCCCTCCTGGTCCCGGCGTGGATACACTAGACCAGCCCTGGCTGCCTGCGTGTCTCTCTGAGCTGAGGAAAACACCCTGTTACTGACTGATTTCTCTTTCACTTTGTCTTTCATTCATCCACCTCAGTCTCTCTCATTGTTACTGAGATTCCTGCACCTGCCCTTCTACACCTGGGCGTCTTTCCTCTTCATCCACCTGTCCTTCAAGATGTCAGACGATGACTGCCGCTCGCCCATCGGCCTCGACTGTTGCAGTTGCTGCCTGGACCTGGCCAATGGCTGTGATGACTCCTTGTCCAGCAGTCCAGCTCAGGGCCTCAGTACGACCGGGGGCCTGCCAGCAAGCCCTACCAGCCCCAGTGTCAGTCACTTCCGCCAGCTCCGCAACCAGCTGGTGTACCAGAACCTGAACACGGACAAGCTGAACAACATCATGAGGCAGGACTCCCTGGAGTCGGTGGTGAGGGACCCATGCTTCCTGCTCAATGAAGGGATCTGCAACAGCAACATTGACCAGACCATGTTATCTATCCTGCTCTTCTTTCACAGGTATGTGTGTTGTTCACTTATCAGATGTGCTTAACTGGTGAGGTAATGACTGAATATAAAGCTTCTTTCATTAGGACATGAAACCTGAACTTTAACTTAAAGTTATTCTCTATTCTCTCAAGGACATTCAGTACAAAGTCCACCATTTTTCTTCTGGATCTATATTTGTCAAATTATTAGATGAGTGCTGCTTAAGAACCATATTTTGCTTAAATGAACCAGATGGCTAATGTTTACTAATCAGGTTTCTTGGATCAGCACTTCTTCTAAAAAGGCTGACATCAGCATTTACAGTCATGGATTAAGTATAGGCTAGGACGAGGGCATTCATTTTGATTGCGTTCCAGAAAAGAGTTTCACGTATGAGTCAAAAAGCACATTATTAGTTACTTCTTAAGAAATCTTAGGGATGGTTGACATGTTGAATTTGGTTGTCTTTGTCTATTATACATGTATACACTTAAACTTTGTATTACTTAACATCTAAAGTCATTGGAATGTGGATTCAAAACACTCAACACTGTCCAAATATTTATGCAGCTCACAGTGACTATTTACATCTACCATCCATGGTTTTTATGCAACATATTTCATATGTGACGTGACACTGACAATGATATGTGCATGTGCTGTACCGTATTAACAATATAATGTGATTTCTTTAGTGAGGCTGTTTAGTTTAAGGGCAATTGTTGGTATTTGAAAGACATATTTGAACTCTTAGAAAGAACTGGAGACTCCTAGAGAGATTTACTTGAAAACAACAAAACATGACACAGAGAAAAAAAAAACAGAGGACAGAGGTGAACAAAATCTAACCTAGAAAGAACTCCATACAAAAACACAAGGTTATTCTAAATCAACAGTCTGTTTTCATATTGATTCAATTAAAATGATCTTTTATTGCTGAAGGTCAATTAAAGCTGGCCTGACACCTTCTCTGTCGCTGCCAAACACTGTTTATAAAACAGTGTTTGGCAGTTCACCTCGTAGTGTTTGTGAGAAAGAGAATGTCCTGCTACGAAGTTGCTGCCAGTTGGAGAGTTTGTTTGGCAGCTACTGTCGAATGACTTCAGCCTCAAATTAACAGTTACCATCTTTCCAGGCAGCTACAGTTTTGACCATCGATGAACTCCTGAACCTGAGCCAGCAGTCGATGTACAGTGCTGTAAAGCTGTAATAACATATGGCCGGTCTGGTTATCGGAGCAGTAAAATGTAGAGATCTGTAGGGAAATAGCAGTAAACACTAAAACAACACAAAGGTGTTATCATCTTCGGAGCCACCTTTGAATGTCATATACTCTCTAAGTTGTCGTCCATTGTGTCAGTAAAACAGGGATACGTGTTAAAGCATCATGACATGTTTTAGACATATACGTCATACGATAACATTAGTATGATAATTTGGCTATAAAAGAGGGGGTTTCTTCTTTGTTTATTGTGGTGTATGAGAGGAATCTTGATATCAGTACTGACCTTTGGCCCCACTTATATCACTTCTCATCTTGTTTCTTGAAGTTCTTGAGTTTTTCTTTTTTTTTCTTGTTCCATAAACATTTTACGGTAATTACATGTTTTTTTTCAAATAAATACTAGAGGAGAAAACCTTATGTAACAAAAACGGATTAAATTATATTTTCTAATATAAGTTTTTATTTTAAAAGGCAGTATTTACTATATATAACTTTTCAATCCCTCAAAATAATATTTTAAGTTGAGAATCATCAGAGGTAAAACCAGAGTTTTTTCCAAATTAAGTCTGATAAACTATCTGTGATAATATTTATCCTGATAAAATGTGCCTGGAATGAATATGGCAATGGCATTTGTTATCGCGAGTTCAGTTATTTGCAGACGTTATCATATCTGTAATGTTCTCTGGCCAAGAAGCATTATCAGTATTTTATCAAATTTCTCCAGAAGCTGAGCTGCCCCAGCATATCCCAGAAGGTTAAATTTTAACCTGTCTCAACATTGTAACTATATGCTATGGCTATTAAAGTCTGTTCTTATCTCCTGTGGGGATGATTGATACTGCAAAAGTACAGACAGCACAATGGAGGTAAAACCATTTACTGTGAACTGCAGCTGATGGGGCTGATGACAGCGATGATTAGACCTTACCGCCAAACTCAGAGGAAGTTGGGGAAAAAGTAACAGCTTTTTTTTATTCATTGTTTTTTATTCCTGACACACTACAGTATACAGCATGGGTTACTTCTGTCTGAATACAACATCACATCCAGAATTTCCACACACGCTTTACTTTTCAATCTGTTAAGTTACATAACAGCTGTTTAAATGCTCATTCATTTGACAGCTTTTTAGGCAATATTGATTCAATGAAAGAACACCCAATTCTCAATTAATTTATGATAGCAAGGGTGTGTCATTATGATACTGTGGGATGAAGAACAAGGGGTGAAGAAACTTTGGGTTGAGGAATTAGACTCTAGCTCTAGCTTTGGCAACGAGAGCTCACGAAAATCAGAGAACAAATAGTACTTTTCAAACAAAATGTTTTTATTTCAGGACAATACTTTCAACGTGTCCTTAGACTTACACTTGGATATGCTCAGGTGATTTATTTTTCACTGAATTCAGTGTTTACAGTATCTTAGCTTGAATAATGCCTGCTGGCAGGGCTTTGTTAAAAGTCTTACACAAGAGTTTTTCCTTTTCTGCTATTCAAACTTAGTCATAATGCCACAGCTATTTTTGCAGCCCCATGCGTTTCTTCACTAACCAAAGATTAATTCCATCAATTAAACATTAATTTTGTCAAAAGAAAAAGATTCAGTATTGATCTCCTACTCTCTATCTATTTATGTGAAAAATTATTGACAGAGTAGATGACACACAGGACTGGCATCTCCTTGGAAATGAGAAAGATCTTGTTATAAATGCCAATATTTCTGATATTCCTGACTCAGAGGCAATGTGCTCACCCGTGTCATTGGTCAGTGTGACCATGCGTCTGTCTGTGCCAGCTCAACTGTTTGCCTGACAAACAGAGTCTTTAGCCAGAACACTTTGTTCCTGAACCTTTCCTTCTCAAGAGGGAATCGCAGACTCGGATCATGTGGCTTTTTGTGGCTTTCTCGCAGGATTAAAACACTGATTTCAAATGTGTACCATTATGGTTTTTCATGCAGAAAGACAAATGCACCCATTCATTCAAACATGTACTCACAGTCTAATCCTGTCAATCTAAATAAGAAAGCTGCCTTGCTGAGCTGAGTTTTGCAGAAGTTCGTACTCACTTCGGGAAGGCTTCTGATGAAAGCCTGGCTGAGGTTTAGACTGTGACCTCATCCTGGGTGGTCAGTCTGCTGAGCAGCCATCACTCTCATTTGCCACTTGTTAACAGAATAAAATGTCCAGCATAGCTCAAGGACGCCTGCCAGGACATATTTTGGACTTGTTGAATATCAGTAGGCAGTGGCCAGCAAACTTGTTATGTAAATGATTTAAAGGTCACAGAAATTAGCTGAGAGGAAAATTTGAACTCATAAGTCTTGTTTGATGTTTGAGGCAGAGCCAGAGAGCCCCGAGGGGGGCAGGATTTGTGATTTCCCCAGGATAAAACCAGAGGAAATATGCTGATTTACTTTGAGGCTTAGAGAGCTACACTTGACTGGAGTGAGAGGGGTATACTCTTGCACACCTTCACCCTAGGAAGTCAGTCAGTACTCAGCAGCCACTAAACACCATCACATGGCAGGGTGAAGAGGGGTGAAGAGTCTGTAGTGATGACACAAACGTTTATCACAGGACTTGAGGTCTGTGACCGGTCAGTCAGTCAGGAAGCAGTCAAAATACAAAGGGAAAAGAAGTTAGCGGCAGCACAAAAGATGTCTCCAGGTGTCAAAGACCTCATAAAAGAGGTTTTCTCTGCGGCAGCCAGGACAGGGCCGAAGAAGAGTCTGCACACTTCAGCCTACAGAGCTCCATTTCAGGTTTATAGACAAGATAACAATGATCTAATAGTTCTTTGAGAAAAAGAAAATGTTGTTTTAAGTAATGTAATTGTGCAGATTTTCAGGTGTCCCTATATGTAGCCCATAGTTGCGAAAGAGATTAAACTTTAAAACCCGTTGAAAAAGTCTGTTAGTAATGTATTTAAAAGGCCAAGAAGCTGCTGAAGTGCAGGCAAGAATCTGCCTGGCGTGTGTATGGATGAAATAACTTTAATTTCTTGGTTCAGGTCTCTTGACTGAAAAAGAAAAAGAAAAGTAATTTTTCAGCCTAGCTGGGAAAGACAGGGAGGTTTTTTCAGATAAAACATCTCTGACTGTCTGGAGGTTAACTTTGTGTACACAGACTCCAGCTTTGTATGAAAAACTGTACAAGAAAAATGTCAGTAAAAGGATTCTGACAGAAGAGTTACAACCTCTGACTAGGTTTGATTTTGTTCTCTGGCACAACTATTTATCCTTCTAACATTTTGTGGCCTTGCCAATCTAGGCCTCATTACAGTAGTAAAAGGTCCTCACTGTGGCCTCAGTTGATCATTGGCCTTTGACATTTGTTCCACTGGGCTACTGAACATGACCTAGCCCTCCCACAATGGAATGGAGACAGGATCCAGCTGTGTCAGAGACCCCACTGAGCTCCACTCTGTGATCAAAATATAAACCACAAAATAGCTTTGCTACAAGTCCAAGACTTGTATTTAGTGATCCATTGTGAAGGTTTTAGAAAGTGTCTTTGCCATGTGTATATTTAAACAGTTCTTTTTTTTTTTTGTGAAACTACTGGAGCTTTTTCAGTCTGCATAATGAGTTGGTTTCATATTTTAGTTTTAATTCAAAACAGTGGATCACTTCTCTGTAATACAATAAGAAGTAAACACCTTCTTTATCTTGGATATTAGCATGGAGGCCACGCCTGTAAAATTATCTCTTATAGTCAAAGTAAAGTTGAACAGGGCCGTTCTGCCTGCTCAGTCCTTGAGGGAAAATAATTTGCATAGAAGAACGATACACACTTTTGGAC